AATAAAAATTAGAAGAGTTCTAAACTAATGCGCTGTCTTCACTGTACCTCACGCACACATGTTTAGTCACACAGATCACGCTGCGTGCACATAAAGACATTCTTTTTAGTGCTCACACAAACTTTTTAGCACTGCTGCCTAGGGTTGGGTATCGTTTGGGTTTTTTCTGGGGAAAAGAGGACGTTATGGTCACCCTAATTTATAATCTATTGCTAATCGATGTATTCTTTTTAAAGTAGCATATGGAACATATTTTCTGCCTCATTCTGTGACAAGAAGCCTCATCAGATCACAAAAGGAAGCATTTGACTGGTGTTGTGGAGTAAAAAGGTTATAATTTTCTCTTTTGTTGGACAACAGGTTTAGAAATGTGAATACAAGGGAGGTTTAGCTTTAGGCATTTTAATTTAAGCATGTTTAACTTAGTAATCGGAAGGCTACCTGCTGCCATCAGAGCAAGTGTAATTACTGCATTCACGCGCTCCTCGGATGCTCTCATTTCCCGAGTTGTGCTTTTAATTCGGAATGTGAAAACAACTGGGACACTCACGTTACTACGAAACTGTGTTGGATTTGTATTATTAGAGCTTTCCGACTTGAGTTCACGTGCATTTTCTCAGTCGGGAAATTATGTCACGTGCGGTGCCAGTGATGATGCTTCTTACGTCAGTTTCGGAGAACCAGAGGACAAATATTTAAATCGATCGCTCAGGCATGGCACCGATATCTGCATTCTGATTCGGTTCTAGTAGTATGTAGTATGACGGGCGGTCTAACAATATCCCGTTCCCGACGTCCATTCAGAACAGCATATCTGCGCTTTATTCTTATTGACCATCGTTACAGCCTGCACTCGGACTGTTATGCACGTGCTGTGCGCATGCCTTCTGCGTCACACGTTTATTTGCAGGGTCTGTGCGCAGCATGTGCATAACGATGCTCAGAGCAGGCTGTACCTGTGGTAAATATACGGCCCTCGACGCACACCTAACATTTGATTGTACTATTTTTGCATTCAAATGCAAACGTTTATTTAAAATTCCACTAATATTCATTTTTTTTATCCACAATCTCCTCATCACAGGCAGGCACAGCACTCAAATCAGGCCTAGCTTAAGGCATTTTAATTTAAGCATGTTTATCTTAGTTAACGGAAGGCTACCTGCTGCCATCAGAGCAAGTGTAATTACTGCATTCACGCGCTCCTCGGATGCTCTCATTTCCCGAGTTGTGCTTTTAATTCGGAATGTGAAAACAACTGGGACACTCACGTTACTACGAAACTGTGTTGGATTTGTATTATTAGAGCTTTCCGACTTGAGTTCACGTGCATTTTCTCAGTCGGGAAATTATGTCACGTGCGGTGCCAGTGATGATGCTTCTTACGTCATTGTCGATGAGTGAGAGAGCAGAATAAGGATGGAGCAAAGTGTGGATGCGCTGTCCTTGAAGGACGTTCAACTCGTTTTGTTTATATTTTTCTTATCCTATAATTTTAAATGACAGATGTCATATTTATTTATTTTTCTGTGTGACACTTATACTGTGTTAACAGAAAAATGTCAAAAGAATTTTGTATTTTGACAAGACGAATAAAAATAGCTAATAAGCTATTTTTGTACAACCTACATTTTTTTTCTCTCTGCAACACTTTTTCGAATAAAATAACATACAGTTTTGTGCAGACTACACTTTTATTTGTTAGCCTATCTTTCTTTCAGTAGCGGAAATTTAAATGTGAGATTTTGGAAACAAGATCTAAATTTAGCGGGAACGGTCGGGTCGGGAAGAAAATTATTCTAAGCGGACAGCGGGTGAACAAAGAGTGAATATATAGCGGGAGCGGGTGGGTGCGGAATATAACCTTGCGGGAGCGGGACTAAAAAAACAGTCCCGCGCAGACCTCTACTAGTAAGTCCCCACAGAGCATAGTTTTCTCAACAACTAGCAAGGCTGAAGCCGTAAGTCCGCAAAAGAAGATATGCTGTATAGTTGTTGAAAAATTAAATTAAATTAAATTAAAGTAACTATTTACATGCAAAAATCCCCTCTGTATTACTTC